TATTTATTTTGACCTAACAGTTAGTAAACATTGGAATGGCATTGCTAGTTATTTCATATTTAATTTAGATTTAATTATAACCAAAACAGGGTTGAAATTTAGGGTTAAGTACAATCAAAACAGAGTAGCTATTTAAGGTTTAATACAATTGAAATGAAGCAGAAATGTAGGTAATACTAACTTGTGTGTTTATGATGTTTTTTAGCCTGATGATGACTCCTAAAGCATGTCAAAAGCTGTCTCCAGTAGAAGAATTTGGATTGCATATATGAATGTGGAGAAAACTTCTTTTTTTTAATTTTTAATTTTAGAAGTTTAGATTAGATATAATCAAAATAAAATTCAAAGTATTCTGTCTTTTTTATGGGAGGAAAGAGATGAGGTAACTGATTGTAAACTTTTCTTACTCTGTTGGTGAATAGGCACACTTGATACATTGAAAGGTAAAATGTTTTGAAAGTATGAAAGTTATAATTTTTTTTATGTTATTTCAGGATCTTGGATATTTCCTTCAACCGAATACAGAAAATAGAAAACCTAGGAAACTTACTCAAGCTTAAAAAATTATTTCTTGTGAATAACAAGATACGTAAAATAGAGAACCTGAGCTGCCTTGTGAACTTGGAAATGTTGGAATTGGGCTCAAATAAAATCAGAGTAAGAATTTTGTTGGTTTGTGGGTAATCTTTGAATGCGGTATGAAAGTCAATGTATTGGATGGTAGTGAATTTTACTAGAAAGGTAGTTATGGTGCTATTTCATATGTGCTGGAGTATGAAAATGAAGTTATTATTATGAAAATCGACTCAGAAATGGTTACTTGATGTGATTTGACCCTTTTGCTGTGTAGTTTGAATATATCCAAATAAACATTTATACCCACTGACTGTAAAATTTTGACTTGCCCCAACAGCTACCCAAAAAAGTTTCCCTCTACTGCGACATGCAGGAATATCCCCTGTACTTGAAACAATTGCCAAACCTGTGTGTGTGCTGCCATCTGTGTTCCATGCCATGAAACCTAAATGTTTATATGCCTCATTACAAAATTGCCAACTTCACAGGAACACATATGGAATCTATATAAGAACAGCTTTTTTATATCTTGGATATTGTTAACCTAAATAATTTGTTTTATATTCTGTATTGGTTTTGGCCTCTTATTGACTTAGTTTTGCCTATATTTATGCCATTTACTGGAGAACACTTTTTTTCTAATTTTCCTCAATTTTTTGGTTTAAATCATTATTTTTCACTATCCAATACGGTTTTAAAAGAATATTAATATTGTAAAAGTAATACAAAGGGTTAAATTCATATTTTTAAATTTTTAGTGAATAATTGACACTTTTTGGGAATCAACGTGAAAATTAATTGTGCAGTGAAAGGTTTAAAATCAGAATTAACATGTAGTTGAAATGAGAGAAGTATTTTAAAAATTATTCTTGGACATTTGTGTAAAATCATAAATAAATAATTATTACAGTTAAAAAGAACAACATATTTATTTGGAACTGATCAACAGTCACCATTTCACTCAACATTTTTCAACACTAATGTGTTAGAGTTGTTTTTAACTGTAGTGTTTATTTATTTATGAGAGAAGCATGTTTGAAAAACCTCTGCCTAAAACTAAAAATCTCTGGCAAAAATTGATGCAAGCGTGTTGTTTTGAAAAGTTCATGACTTTGTGAAAAATAATATAAATTTGAGACAGTATAAATGAGTGTACTTGTGTATTTTGAAATGTGAGAAGGTTGTGTCTTTAGTTTTTTAAGCCTTTGAACTGAAAAGTATGTAACTGTTTAGACAAAATTATTGTGAGAGAATTGACTTGCAAGAATATCATGTGTGAATGATAGAAATTAATAAAAACCCGAGCAATTTCGAAAGGTGGACCTTTCTTCTTCAGGGGCAAACTTAGAACTCATGAATATGACTAAAACATTCTGTTGATTTCCCACTTTTATCACCTGTACAACCCTTCACTGGAAGGAAAAAGAACTACAAAAATTTACAAGAGAACTGATACATTCCTTCTTAAAAAGAATAACAAAAATTCAGCTTCCTACCAATAACACCAATTCAAAAAGCACTTCTAACAACACTCTTTCGAACCCTCTTCTTTGTCCTAAAGAAACTACCAAAATCCCCTTATCTCACAATGAACAAGCTAAAAAAATGTTTAAAAACACTTCATCCTCTAATACGCCTTCTCAAAGTAACCAATCTGTTGCAAATAACAGTAGCCTCATAAAGTGTACAGATAACGATGAACACTTCCAACATATCTCCATTTCAGACATAACTCTCTCCGAAGCAGAACTCAGTCTTCTTAGTAGAGGTCTCACCTTCTGTCCAAATAGCAGCTATGTTAATAAGCCCGAATTTCTTTCTGACTTCCATGAATTCTTTAGAAAAGTAAGACTTCACCAATGTTTTCTCAACAAAACTGACCCTACTGAAAATCAATATACAAGGAATGTTGAAAAAAAAAGTCTTCATGGACACCGCCACCAAACAGAGAACCATATTTAGAGAGTTGTATTAAAGCTGTAGAAAAAGACATAATACAGATCTTAAAAATCTTCCAAGCAATGTCCTAATAATGTTAACCAAAATGAAAGAAGTGATTTAAACAATCTTAAATCAAACAACAATATTATAATAAAGCCAGCAGACAAGGGTGGTGCTATTGTTATTCTTAACAAAGATGACTACATCACGGAAGCTAACCAGCAACTAGAGGACACTAATTTATACAAAAAAACTCTCACATGATCCTACAACTCACTTTATTAAGACCATAACTGATAAGCTTAAAGAACTCCTCCAAAACAATAAAATTAACAAAGAGACCTTTCAGTATTTGATACCCAGACAAGCTTTTCCTGGTAGATTTTATCTCTTACCCAAAATACAGAAACCAAACAATTCTGGCCGACCCATAATTTCTAATATAAGCATAACTACTGAAAAGCTGTATTCCCAGTTTGACCCTGAAGAAGAAAGGTCTACCTTTTGAAAGCACTCGGGTTGTAGGGTTTTTATTCATTTCTATCAAGACTTCTTGAACCTACGTGTTTTTCTAACATCATGATTGTGTCAATGATAAAAATTGTGCAATTTGTCAAAAACAGAAAATTCATATTATTAGTGTGATTTGAAGATAAGTCAAATGTGTAAATGTATATGCTAAGTCAGTCTTAACTATGTAGTTTGGAAAATTTGTCTGCAGTGTATCATATCAGTTTGAAAATTATGATGATAACAAATATAGACCTTTTGTAATAAATATCATGTAAACTACTGATGTTTGTTCCCCACATATCTTTTGATTCTAATGTTTTGCCAGTCCTTTGGCATTTATACCATAACTGTTAAAAGGTTTGCCTGTTTAAACTTAAGATCATTGTACTTAGATGATTGAAAAATGGAGATTGGATTAAAGTTGAAATCTGCAATGTAAAAACAGTTGCAACTTACTGTTTAGACACGGAAATATTTATTTCCAGGAGTGACAAAAGTGTATTTTACTATTAACATTTGTAGGCAATAGAAAATCTAGATGGTTTGGTAAACTTGAAGAGCCTCTTCTTGGGTAAAAACAAAATTACCAGACTTCATAACTTGGAAAAGCTGGCAGATTTGGAGTTACTTAGCATACAGGTTGGTCACATAAAATTTGAAATCTTGTACTTCATAAATATTGCTTTTGAACCTGGTAGATACTCTTTGTTGTCTCAAGTACATGTTTAATGTCTATTAACAAGATATACTTTGTTCTATGTTTGAAATACCAATTTCATGTATAGTACCAATACATGAGGTTAGATTAGCTGTGCATTAACAAGACAAGAATTATAATTTTATTATCTAAAATAGCATTTAAACATGAATGAGGTTGTGTTATTGTCATCTGACATCTAACTTAAATTTTTACTTGCATGACAGGACTTGTATACTTGGCTGTATTATCATACAAGGCACAATTAGTATTGTTCTTTTTGTGTAACATGCCATTAAATATGCATTTTAAAAACATGAATTGTGTACTTGTTTTCTGAAATACAATTAATTTGCTATAGCAAGGCATAACCTGTTTTGTTCATTTAAATGTCAGAGGCTGTGTGTATTTGGATTTCTTAGTATTAACTGTAGAGGATTTTACATTCAAGATGTGGATTATTTGTAATAAACCCAGATTCAACAAAATGAAAACATTTTAATTGCAATATCAGAAACTGATGGGTTGTAGCAGTGTTTAATGAAATGTATAAAAATGCTTAAAACAGGTGTGTTTATAACCTTTTTATTTAATTTTCATATACATATAAAATGGTAGAGCTTATGCAGCTATTAATGAATAATGTGAACAGCCATTGTAATGGTTGGGTTCCAACTAAATTTAAGGTTTCAGTGTCATTTAGTTTCATAATTCAATATATAATGTGACAGAAATAGTCATTTTCATGTTCCAGTACGTGTAACAATTTTTTTCTAAATTGTAGAGTAACAGATTGGTGAAACTTGAAGGTTTGAATCAAAATACTAACCTAAGACATTTGTACCTCAGCCACAATGGGATTGAGAAGATTGGAGGTTTGGAAAGAAATGTAAGTAAAAGATTGAGTATTTCTGTCATAATTAAGAGTTCAGCATTATTGTCCATATCTTCCATTTGACTTCTGAGTTCTCTGATTTCTTGATTTTTCTTTTACCTAAAGAATCCATCGTTTTCTTAAGATAGAGATGCCTATTACTTGGCTCATGTACTTGCGGGTACATGTAAATTTTTGATATATATTTACATAACAACTTGTCTTGTGAATAAAAGTAAACTGAAACCAGATATTGAATTTTTTATTTTCAGAAAATGAATAATTAAATATATTTGTCACTGTGGTATTAATATTTATTTCTCAGTTATTGGTAATTCTCAGCTCTATAGAGGTTTATTTATGTTTATTATTGTTTGCTACATAGTTTGAATCAAACAAACTTTCAGAGTACTCTAAATTATTTCTTTTAGATACTGTTGTAATCTCATAATATGATGACAGAAAAATATATAAACATGCAAGAGTGAGGTTTTTTTTTCTGTGTATACTTTACAAGAACTGCTTCAGCAGTTGTTTCCAGGTGCTTCCATTTGTGCCTTTACTTGTCAATATGCAATATATAGTTTATGGAGATCTAGAAACACCCACTTAAACAAATATGAACCATAAGCACAACAAAACACAGCACCTAACTAAATACATCATTGGCAAGATGCTATACAGTAATTAGAAGCTATACAATAATTAGACCCCATCATATGATTAATCTATATGTATAAGGAAACACCATTCCCAACTCATTATCTGGAGGAGCCACAAAGAAGCTATACAATAATTAAATATCTTATATATATATATGTGGTTTCTTAGTTGAAACTGATTTCTGCATGAGTATTAGATAGGTCCACTATATAACAGAATTGATCAGGAAAATTGCGAAGTAAATCTCAGTTTATGTAAATGACTGAGTTTTAATGAAAAGAAGTAGAAAACATAGTCTGCCTGCATATTACAAAAACACCACTTTCGTACCAATATCTGATTGAGATTACATCTGATTATATCTGATTAAGTTATACTTTAATTAAACTACATTGTATGAAATCATTATGCATAAGAAAACATCACGTTCAGCTAACATTTGGTTGTTGCAGTATTCTACTACATTTCAACGTTGTCAAGGGACTGAGCAATATGTACAAAAAACATTTTATTGATATAAGAAGAAGCTATACAAAAATGTTAAATATATAAACATCCCATAGTGACTAGTGTAAAACAAAACATATCTGTTTGAGAGATAAAAAGAAAAATAAATTATAAATTTTTAAAGGGAATACAACTTTTTTAATCATGAAATAAACTAAAAGAAATATTTAAGTAAAAAAAAGAAAGATTTTCAGATAAATATTTGAATTATTATAATTGAGGTCAATTTAAGTCTGTTACACATTTTATAGGGTTCTTCATCAGGTGAACAAGGTCACCTTGTTCAGCTGACTGAAGATTCTTTTCTTTCAAGGGCTGAGCTAGAACTATGAAATATCTTTTTGTAAGAGTGGAGGTTGGGAGTTTAATTAGTAGAAATTTAAGGGTAACTGCATTCCCACAACTGGCTGTAGACAGTGAAAGGCAGTAGAAGCTGTGACATTGGGGGTGTAAGCACTCAGCTTTGTACCCTTATTTGATTGACGATTTTTTCTTTATTTTTTTATGATTTTCCATGATGGCTGACTAGATTGACATCAGCATTTGCATATTGTCTGATAAATGGAATATCCCCAACGCATTTGGGTGCTATTACCACAGATATTATCTGTTATGACAAAAAGCTGACAACCAGGCCCGATAACGGTATTGCGATATTTAATTCATTATTGTTTTATAGTGCTGATTTAATCACCTATAGACAATTAATGTAATCAATAGTTTGGAAGCTATTTATATATATATGACTGCATTTACTCATTTTTCAAATTACCTTAAAATACATTTAAAAGAAACATTATTCCCACAAAATTCTATTGAAGTACGTTACATAAGTCAAACTTTTATGACTTCACTCAACTTCTAAGATTGAAAGAACATGTTATATGCAATAGAAGTAAATCAAATCTACAAACTGTAGCTCCTAATAAGCCAAGTTACAAAAGTATTACATTTTATCTTAATTTGATTTAACACAGGATTTCCTTAAAATACAACCAATATAAAGGATTAAGTCTATGAATTTTCGAAGCTCAATGCACTTTTTAAGAGGTTGTGGCTCCTATGAATATTATCTGAAACAAGAAAATAAACTTTGATGAGTAATAATTACCAGGCACTTTTGGACATGAAAAATGGATTTGTTCATCCTGTTTAATTTTCAATGTAATTAAATTTTTTTTCACCATATTTCATAAAGAGCATTACTTTAACTAATGTTTGGTATAAGATTTTGTTTTCACCATATTTCATAAAGAGCATTACTTTAACTAATGTTTGTTATAAGATTTGTTTTCACCATATTTCATAATGAGCATTACTTTTACTAATGTTTGTTATAAGATTTTGTTTTCACCATATTTCATAAATAGCATTACTTTTACTAATGTTTGTTATAAGATTTTGTTTTCACCATATTTCATAAATAGCATTACTTTAACTAATGTTTGTTATAAGATTTTGTTTTC